GTACAAATGTGCTTTACACAATTGATGTATGTATGGATTGTGATAAGAGTTGTATGAGCCCCTAATAAAATGATTTAAAAAAAAATGTAATCACAGATATGACAAAAGTATTAAGTGATATGGAGAGTACTTTGAAAATGATAAGCTTGTTTTGTAAAAAAAAATTTTAATACATAGCTCTGGGGAAGAAAATTTCATTTTTTGAGGGGCGTTCCCCCATATGCTAAAGAGACTGGAAAAAGTCTCGACATACAGCATTATCAGAGGGCCTGACTTAGGATTGATCAATCAACAGGGAGCGTCTTACTTCCATTGAAGACGTGTGTTGCATTGAGTCTCCCTACTACCGTCTCTTTCCTGTTACTTTTGTTGATCTGCACCAGGCCTGCCCCAGACGTGTGGTTGCTGGCTTCACGGCACACCCTGAACTTGTAGATGTAAGTTTCTTGGCCCAGGTCCACACTACTCTCAAAGCTGTAAGGAAATGTGAGAAGAAACATGAGGGAGTTAATGGCGACCAGCTTCAAGAACAGTATCTCTTCTTTTAAGAAGAGGCATGCTTGATGTACTCATGATCTTATATGGCTAAATGTAACAGTAAATATTCACTGAATCAGAACATACCATGACCATTAAGTCGAGCATGACAGCTAATGATGCCTGATTAAAATATACCACCCAAGCCCTGTGGGGGACAACACTGAAGATACAGTGTGGGAACTGCGCCCGATCTGGTCCCACCACACTGAGGCAAAACACTAAGAGCGTGTAACAGAACAGCAAAGGAAGCAGAGCAAGGAAGTCCTGAGGGAACACCAAAAATAAACTTTGGGGCCAGGGCGTGACACCCCAGCAGACTCCACCGGAAAAAAACCCCTAAAGGTCAACAAACAGACGCTCAACTATTTATAGGTTTTTCTTTTTTGCCAGTTTTGTTGCTTTGTTTTGCTCCATCTTGTTTTCTGTGCATATTATTATCTCTGCAGGTCTATCTAGATAAGTGGGATAAACAATCTGGAAGAGAAAACAACGGGACCATGATTCGGGGGGTTATGGGCGAGGGAGAGGCGGAGAAAAGAAAATGGTGTTAAGAAACCCAGGGACAAGGGAACAAGTGATCCAAACTCGATGGTGAGGAGAGGGTGTAGGGGGCCTGGTAGGGCTTGATCAAGGGCAAAGTAACCGAGAGGAATTACTGAAAACCAAATGAAAGCTGAGCATGATGGTGGGACAAGAGGAAAGTAAAAACAAACAGAAGAAAGAACTAGGAGGCAAAGGGCATTTATAGAGGGGCTGACTACAGGCATGTACATATATATTTAAATATGACAATGAGGAAATAGATCTATGTGCATATATTTAGGTTAGTATTAAGGTAGCAGATGGGCAAGACCACTTCTTGTTCTATTAAACTGGCATTCCATGCTGTTCACCTTTCCAACATGATCGCTGAAGACAAAGTGGGTACTTAAGCAAGTGTGGTGAAGAAAGCTGATGGTGCCCGGCTATCAAAAGCTAGAGCGTCTGGGGTCTTAAAGGCTTGAAGATAAACAAGTGGCCATCTAGCTCAGAAGCACAACAAAGTCCACATAGAAGAAGCACACCCTATGTGATCATGAGGTGTCGATGGGATCGGTATCAGGCATCAAAGAACAAAAAATCATGTCATTGTGAACAGGGGGGAGTGCGGAGCGGAGACCCAAAGTCCATCTGTAGGCAGCTGGACATCCCCTTACAGAAGGGTCGCAGGGAGGAGACAAGCCAGTCAGGGTGCAGTATAGCACCAATGAAACATACAACTTTCCTCTAGTTCTTTAATGCTTCATCCCAGGCAGGGCC